TGGGAATGAGCTCAGTTCATAGAGAGTCCTCCATTGGTAATCGAAATGGAGAGTTCAGAATGTCCAGTTCTACATGTGTATGAGCCGACATGCTAAGGATACATGGAGCCACATAGAATATTCCCATCGCTGCCATCTTAGTTCTCCTCGTGGTCACAGCGATGGAACTTCACAGTCATAATTTTCATCAGTGATGTAGAGGTCATCCCCATCAGGGGCTTACAGATCTCATGTAGCCAGTGTGCTCGCTCCTATTGGAGGTCGGTAAGAACGGTTCCCTCATTCATTGGAGATGAACCCCCTTACATTCAGAGAGGTGAAGGTTCTACTTACATTTATGATCAGTAGAGAACAGGCCTCTTACATTGGTGGCCAGTGGAGGACCCATTTACTGTGGTAGTAGGTAATGAAGGGCTCCTTTATGTTGGGTGCCAGTGGAGAAGGGCCCCATACATTGGTAGCCAGTGAGAAGGGCCCCCTTACATTGGTAGCTAGTGGAGAAGGCCCCCTTACTGTGGTAGTCGGTGGTGAAGGGCTCCTATACGTTGGGTGCCAGTGGAGATGGGCCCCATAGATTGGTAGTCGGTAGTGAAGGGCTCCTATACGTTGGGTGCCAGTGGAGATGGGCCCCATAGATTGGTAGTCGGTAGTGAAGGGCTCCTATACGTTGGGTGCCAGTGGAGATGGGCCCCATAGATTGGTAGTCGGTAGTGAAGGGCTCCTATACGTTGGGTGCCAGTGGAGATGGGCCCCATAGATTGGTAGTCGGTAGTGAAGGGCTCCTATACGTTGGGTGCCAGTGGAGATGGGCCCCATAGATTGGTAGTCGGTAGTGAAGGGCTCCTATACATTGGGTGCCAGTGGAGATGGGCCCCATAGATTGGTAGTCGGTAGTGAAGGGCTCCTATACGTTGGGTGCCAGTGGAGATGGGCCCCATAGATTGGTAGTCGGTAGTGAAGGGCTCCTATACGTTGGGTGCCAGTGAAGAAGGGTCCCATAGATTTGTAGTCAGTAGTGAAGGGCTCCTATACGTTGGGTGCCAGTGGAGAAGGGGCCCCATACATTGGTAGTCAGTGTTGATTGATCCTGAAGATAATGCGTTGGTCACATATCCCTCAAGGCCATTGGGGTGTCCTCCTCCTTCCTCTCCCTCCACAATAGAATGTGAAGTGGAAGCATGTGATCCAGCTGGGAATGTGACGACAGGTTTGTCCCGCCATGAAGAAGAACAAACCGGACAGGACAACCAAAAAGAAGAGCTTTCAATAAAAACAGGCTTAAAGGGGAACCCAACACTAAGGAACCAAACCGCACCATCGCCAGGCATGAGGAAAGTCCTTCTCAATTTTGTAAGCAGCGGGTCAAAATCGCAGCCGATCCCTTTGTCAAAGCGAGTGCTCACCCATGTACAGGTGAGCTCAACATCTCACACCACCCGCCCCATTACCACCCCAGTCGTTGCGCTTGGTCGTGGCGCTTTGGCCTCTACTTTTGTTCTTCAGCACACATGTCGGACACCCCGGTCCCGGCATAAAAGAAGCTGCAAACCAGCAGAAGACACCTAAAACTTGGTCCAAATGAGGATTCCACTTTACATTGGACTACCTCC